TCACATATACCCAAGACAGAGTTCCCATCTTGTATAATGGCTTTAGCTGTTAAAAGATTGTTTTTATGCTGAGCAATAGTGAATCTACTTAGAATTAATGCCCATTAGTATCTGTTCTGCTGCCCAGAGCTATGCTGAGTTAAGTCTGATCCAGAATTGCACATGATATTTAGAATCATAGAGCTAGAAAGGACCTCAAGAGATCTCTTTGTCTAACCTTTCTAAGTTCTGGAAAATGATCAGAGATGCAATTCAAAACAGATTTTATGCATTTATGCATTCATTCCTCACACATTCACTGAGCATATACTATCTATCCAGCGTTCGTTTAAGGGCTGGGTTATAAAAGTGAACAAGACAAAATACTTGGGAGCTTAAATTCTTGTGCAAAAATATTTGACTGTTCTCTTTGGAACAGTTATGAGAATGGAAATATTTTCTCCTTTATTTTATCTGTATTTTTAATTAATATTTTTATGCATCCAATGACTGATTTCTTTCACAGACATTTCCCCTTTTCAGTAGTCAACAAATAGGTTTGTTTTTATTTGTTTAACTACAGCTTTCTTACTAAAAAAAATTAAAAGGCAGTGGTAATGGGTTCAGTTCTATTCTTCTTTTCCCTAAGCTATCTTCAATTCATATAACCTGTTTCTAGAACAACCTTTTTTTTAACTTTAATCACATTGATTGTCAGTTTCTCTACAAGGATTGTAACTAAACATAGTATTTAGGATTTAGTAGGATAATTTCTTCTATTATGCGTGTTATCTATCTGTGAACACATACTAGACTCACAGTGGCTTGATCACCTCTCACTATAGTGTCATTTCTAGAACACACTTATTTTATGACTGACAGTGACCCCAGTTGTTTTCAGTTTGAGCTTATCATTAGTTACTCTTTTCCTTTCTCTCGCTGTGGGGCTTTTTTTTTTTTTTCTTTCTAATTAAACATTCTGCTTTAAGTTGGTCCTACCTTAAAAGCGACTTCCAGATCTATATTCCCAACTTTGATTACTTCCTGGAAATTTGGATCCATCCATCCAAAGGTCTCCTTGACAGTACATCACAACGTGGAAGTCCAAAAAGCATCTAAACCTTGAAGTGGACCAAACAGAAACAAGCAGAAAGCTTTGCTTCTCCTGTTCTTCCCATTTCCCAATCTCAACTGCTTAACCGTAAAAATCTATGTTCATGATTTCTTTCTTTTGCTCAAGCAACCTGTATACATTCTATCACCAAATCCTATTGACTTCACCTCTAAAATTACCCTTTCCATCTCTTTCTTTCTAGACTACTGTAACGTTTATCCAGACCACTTTTCTTACATGGTCTCACAATTGTTACTCTTTCTCCTAGTTCATCTCCTTGTATCCATGTTGAGACCTGACAATCCATTCACTATAAAGAAATGAAAATTATGTTTTAAGGTTTAAATCAAATCCTATCTCTCTCATTTCAGCTGGAAACAAGGTCCTTCATGGTCTGCCCAGCCTTATTTTTGATTCCATTTCCTTCTACTAATCTACTTCCCCACTAACCTAAGGCCACTGACGTCTTTCTGTCCTTCCCACACAGCACCTTCCTTTCACACTAGATCTGCCCTCTGTTGGAAATGGCTCTCACCTGGGTCTTTGCATAGTTTAAATGTCACCTCTTAAAAGAGGACTTTCTTAGATTTTCAATACAAAGTAGCTATGCAGTCACCCTCTATCACATCACTCTGTTTTAATTGTCTTCATGACAAGTATTTATAACTCAGATTTCTTTTACAACTCATATTTTTCAACCCATTTGTCTGAATATCGTTTATCTCCTCAAGTTAGAATGTAAGTTCTGCTTAAGCTACAGCCTTCCCTTTCCTGTTCACCACTAGATCCTTTGAACAGAGGCCACCGTCAGACCAGGCACATAAGAGGTGTCAATAAATATTTGACCAAGGAAATTTATTTTATTTTGATCTTATAGTCCTGTCTTGCCACTATTTGGAGGTCCATTGGAACTTTATTTACATCTACCTCTCTGAGTACCAATTTCACTTTCAGCTGTGGACCTAATAAAGAATTCCCAATTCCTTTGTCTTGGCCATTAAGGAGCTACTGAACTGAGTGGGGGAAAGAAGGTGCATCCCTTGGGGAAACCATTCACTATCGTTACTTCAGAGCATTAAAGAAAACTCCTAGCAATCAAAAAAGACTAGCTATCACAAATGACAGGCCGTCCAGACCCAAATTTCTGATACCTAAGAGATTAAGTTTTCTCATGTCATATTTTTGGGAGTTTGTTTAGAGAGTTTATTTTGTTTAGTTTTTAATAATTACCTCAGCTCACAATATTCATGTATTAGAAATTACTAATCTCATAAAGTCACCTGCATGGCACAGTCCTGAGCTTCCAAGTGTTATGTTGACCATAAATGAAAACCGCAGGATCCATTCCTCGCCCTGGCTCTGTAGAGCTGTCCCCTTGCTTATGCTTGTAAGCATGGATTATAATGGCTTCCTTGGACTTCAGTTATTGTATATGCTAGCTTTCCCACCTGGGTTTTGGCATTTCTTAGTTTTTCTTCTGATCTCATTCTTCCTTCTAACTCATGCTTCTTCCCCTTCCATATGAAATCAGTTCATACAACAGATCTCTTATCTCCCGCTTTTTCTTTCCATCTTGGGCGTGGCTTTTCCTTGACACCTCCATCTCAGAGCTAGAAGGCTGTGATGGCCCCTCCTTGTCTACTCTGTGGTATTTTGTCTTCATATTGTACATAGTAGCAATGACTGTCTTCTGCCTTGTTCTCAATGGCAGTGATATGAAGGCTCCTCCTTCCCTGGGACGCCGGTAGCACCCACTGCTATTTACTCTGCTAGTGTTAATAATGACCTTCAGTGGTCAGGAAATTCTGAGAAGGACAGAGTCCTTCAACTCACTTTGCCTTCTTCCTATCAATACAATAATCAGTTTATCCTAAGTCGCCCAAAGAGAAAACCAAACAAATGATTTCTTATCTCCTAGACTTCTCTCCTAGTTAAATGGTTAGTGGCCGCAGCATACTCGAAAACAACTATGATTATTTTAAGAACCAAGCAGGTCCATGTTAAGAAAGGTGAAGTCCATTCCCAATCATGCTCTTGTTTTCCCTTTTGAAATAAGAAACTCATTTTCAAGAAAAGCAGTTCAGATCTGCCCAATATTCTCTGGGTCAGCTTGATGGTTATGTAACCTTCAGCCTATTTAAAAAAAAAAAAAAAGTGTGAAATAACCAAGTTCTTAAAAGTCAAGACAGTATTGTTAACTGTCATCATCATGTTGTACATTAGATCCCCGGAATTCATTCCTCTTGCATAACTGCAACTTTGAACCCTTTGACCAACGTGTCTTCATTTCTCCCTCCTGCCCCCACCCTGCCACCCCTGTTTGATCAAGACCAGCTTGATTGTGGCGATCTTTTCACAATGTATACATATATCAAAAATATCAAGTTGTACACTGTAAATACGTACAATTTTTACATGTCAAAAATAACTCAATAAAATTGTTTTTAAAAAGTTAAGACATACACTGATAATTTGTGAACTCATAAAAACTTAATGTCAGACTATCTGCTTTCCTTTTTTTGTGAAGATAGACTTAGGTATACCACAAATTAAAAAAAAAAAAAATGTTAAGAAAGTATAAGACAGAAAGAGAAAGAGCCAGAGAGGGTGAGAGAGACAAAGAAGTAAATATGTAGAGAATGGACTGAGTGGGTTGACTAGTAATGGGCAGAGGGACTCCTGCATCCAGTTCATGGATGCCAGCGTAAAGCATGCTTCAAAAAAATGGATGGATTGGAAGAGTGTGGTAAATCATTCTTTATTTCTTTTGTTAATTTATTCATTTAACATTAAATAGTGCCGACTAGGTGCCCATTTTTCTGCTAGGTACTAGGAATGCAAAAATGAATAGTATGGCCTTTGACTTAAAAAAACTCACGGTTTAGTGGAAAAATCAGACCTCTATTTATTAAATATCAGGTAAGAAACATTATAATAAAGATGTATGGGTGGTGTTAAGGAGTCATTCAACAAACCAGACATACATGACCAGTGAACTCCCAAGATTATAGTTTTGAATTGGTGGATTTAGAGTCCATTAAGAAGTCATCACTCAGCATTATAAGAGGAGAAGCCTACAGAGTTCCTACAGTTGAACTCAGAGAATCCTGAGTTATGGAGTCAGAGAAGAAATTAAGAATTAATTTAGCCAAGAAGGATCACAGGGAATGAAGCAAATAAAGCCGCCTTGGGGAAGAAGGAGGGTCAGGTACTTGATAATATCAAGAAAGGGAAAGAAGCAAGCACTCAAAATTGCCCCAGCCTCCTCCACTAGTAACCTTCCCTTTAAAGAGTTTCAGGTGCTATAACCAGAAAGGGCCGGACCTTTTCTTACCATTGGATGAAAGATGGCACAGTATTGCCCAGTTCATCTTAGACACTCAGCACTCATCTCTAAAAGCTCTGAAAGAGGCACTGGGGAGGGAAAACGATCCTAACATTCATTCTGAACAAATAGGAAATGGCTTCTTTTAAAGTTTGATCTGAAAGACACACACCTCCCCGCCCATAGGGTACCCCCCCGCACTACTCAATTTATCTGTGTCAGAAACTCCACGGACCAGATTGATTGTGCTGTAAATTGAGCCTCCACTTCCATTCAGAGTACTTGAAACGTGACACTCCATCCACTAAGCCCTACTTCTTGGGTTGTTTTTTTTTGTTGTTGTTTTTTGATTCTAATATGTTGAAATATTTCTGCAGCTCTGGTGCTGTCTCTGCCTGGGCCAGGAAATGCAGTTTTGATCAAATCTCATAATAATATGGGGAGATGTTGAAGATGAATGCCTATTGATAATTCAAACTGCCAGAAAGTGAGATACAGAGAATTTAATAACCTGAAAAATGGTTGCAAAGGAGTGTGGTTTGGTTTTCAGCTGTCTCTTCCCTGTACTTGTTTCTAACCCAGGGTGAGTTTTGACGAGGGCCACTCCTGGGACAAGTATGGCTTCACTTCGGTTCCTCTCTTTGTTGACGGGGCTCTGGTGGAGGCAGGAGTGGAGACCCAAATCATGACGTGAGTACTTATTTTGCTGTGGCCAATAAGAGCCCGAGACCTGGGTTCTGTCTCCACTGAGGCCACGGGTTTTTCCTGGGGAACCCCAAAGCATTCCAATCTGGTCCCTAGTTTCCTCATCTGTAAAGTGGAAATATGTGTTCTTGTACCCACCGATTCAGAAGGCCACTGACAGCATCTGAGAAGCTAGGCTCTTAAGTGACCAGTTGCTTCTAACAGCATTTAAGATATTCTAACAAATTTCCATTTATTCAAAATCCAAGCAAACAGAAAGCTTCCATCTTTAGACACGTCTTCTTTCTTTCCAAAACAGTCCAGTAGGGGGCGAGGGACAGGGACAGTCACAGGAAATAAAACAGCCAACATACTGAAATAAGAGAATATTTTAAGGGAAAATCCTGGAGTCTGTGCCACACACACACACACACACACACACACACAAACCACACACACAGAGTTGTCATTCTACTTCAGATTAATTTTCTGTGAACATTTTCTATGTTCCTTTACACCGAGAATAGATGATCTTAAAGTTGTAAAAATCCCCAAAGTACTTTCTGAATATTAAAGAAAATTTTAATAAGTTGGTACTAGTTTTTAAAAGTCTGCCTAATTCTAATTTCTGAAAAGCTGATTGCCTATGTGTTTTTGTGTGCACATGGATATGTAGGGGAATATGGGAGGATAGTCATGGTAACCCTCCACCAGCCAATACCACCCTCGCCTCCCGCACTTTGAAGTGACTAGAACATTGTACACCTTCATCTTCGCTGAATGGAATGAAGGGAGTTGCTCCACAATATTAAGGGAATCTACCATGTTGTGGGGTTGGCACAGATGGGGCTCACAGAATGCTTCTCTGCTGGTTTGGGGGAAGAGTGTGGTCTTCTTCCCCTAGGGAACACTGCGGTTCTTTGAAACTTTGCGTTCATGAATGTCTTTATAGTTTGAATCAGTCTTTTCCAGGATGAGACTTATGGGCTCTGAGGAAGAGGCAAATACAGGGCGAATGGCTAGTTCTGTGCTTTACTTTTTCCCGAGAGTATCAGTTAAAATAATCTGTTACAACTGCAGCTGTGCAGTTTTGTCCAAATGTCATAATCTGGCCCCCAACTTGACTACTTTGCCATGGCCCACCTCTCTACATCCATTCTCACATCCAAAGTGTTGACTGGCAAGGCCTCTGGGCTTTCCGAGTGACAGAAAATACTCAGCTGTGATGAAAACTGGTACACACATTGGGGAAGACAAACAAAACAAATGGACAAAAATCTCATCTCAGATTTAGGGCACCTCAGATTTAGGATTCTTAATCCGTAATCCGGTAGCCGTGGCTTACCTGTCTGGTAATTCTTTTCTTCATTTCTAAGATTGAATCACTCCTTCTGCTTCTTTTTAAAATGTTGAAATCCTAAAAATCTTCACCTTTTTAGCAAATTAGCAGAAACACTGCAAGGGTCTCATGTCTACAGGACTTGTCTAGAGAAAAAGTCTAGGATTCCCAGTGTCCTCATTATTAAAAAAAAAAAAAAAGGTTTATAATAGAAAACCTGAGTGGTTCCACAAGAATGCCTTTAGAACATTTAGGACA